AAACGAAATGGAGCAAACATCTTAGGGTTTGCCTCTCAAATTGAACACTTATTTTTGATCACGATGATCGACCGTCTTTGGAAACCACCAATCTCTCTTGAAACACTTCAGTCGTGCAATTTTGCTGTAACACACTATTTACGTTTTTACTTTATCTTCTAGATGTTGAAATATTATTGCTTCCTTCATGTACTGTAGAGGTCCTTCAATTCCAAGGACGTTACGAATATAGTGATTTGAAAATATGCGATGAATATCAATTCAGCGGTTTTCATCCGTGCTTAGCAGGTATTTTCAAACATATTTCTTTCCGAGCATGACATGCTACAATGTTATCACCCATGATTCCAGAGTTCGGGATTGGAGCCCTGACGGATTGGTAGTTGGTGATGTTTCCCTACCTTGCTAACACGCCACTGTATACGTTATATTCCAGTAGTTATCGTAACTGGACGATAATTGGTGACAGTTCAGCTGGAATAAACATTCTTGTAGTAGCGCATCAGCTGAGCGCTTGAGGTTGGCTTTAGCTTCATAGAGGTATTTTCCCATTATGATTCTTAAACGGAGCAACTACCACCCAGTTACGGATATCACAAGTGATACACCGTTCCAGTTCCTGCAATAAATGGGGATGACTCAAGCAATGAGCCAAGTATTTCGCTATGCTGTTTGCTGTCAACGAGGAGTGTAGTCCAGTTATGCTACCTGTTTTGACTGTTCTACTAACTAATTCACTCTTATTCAAAAGGACGATGTTCCTACACAGTAACTGAGATTAGCCATCGTTGATTCAAATGAAGATTGGTAACGTTTACATTTATCTGCTACTTGAAATTGACTATAGGATATATTTGTGATCCTGGATTTTTGAAAGCACAGCTTGATGGTATAAAAATCACTGAACGGCTGCGGATCAGGACGCGAAAGTTTCAGCTTTGATCCCATCTTACCTGGTTTATAACGTAATGTAGACTGCATGTTCAATTCGTACAACCCTTCGTCGCTAATGTGAGACGCTCTTTTATGATTCAGACATTCCCAAAATATATGCAATATCACGTAATAGACAACCGGCATTCGGTATTCAGACATTCTGAGAGAAGATTCACATGCTCTGAGAGATAATCATTGATGGCTTTGTTATTCGGTCGTGCTTTTGCCAAACTAAAATGCGTTCTAAGAATTTACTTTAAGTATTTCAGATTCTGGGCATTCGGGACAAATTATTCAATTCCATACTTCAATTTCTGTACTACGGCTTTGAATTAGGGAATTAAAACGTGTCTCTTCGATAATATGTCTTTGATAATCTATCAATTCAAATTTTCGACACAAGTTTCTGTTTTCTTGTGTCTTGTAAAACTTTAGCAGTGAACCCAATTTCCGAAATGACAAATGTTACCATGTTTGAACGATTTATTGTCGAATCGATAGGTTGTCCTCAACGTGCTTGGATTGAGGTCTTCGTGCTCTGGATGATTTGCGTGACCGATAGGCGTACCGACGTTGAAAGAGCCGTTTGTTCTGATTGAGTTTGGGAGAACATGTATGGGAGCAATTACCAATGAAAATAATTTGGGCCATACACCTAGACTGACCTGGGTATGCTTAAATACCATGCCCTTTCTGCATCAGCCTCAGACACTCTCCCGACTTTGCAAACTATTCATGCAATTAGACCTGGTTCGCCGGATAAGATTCTCCAAATGTGGACGGAATTCGAGGTCTACAAAGATCACGGTACCGGTTAATTACCACTCGTTTCGCTAAAACTGCGTGCCGATCAGCTTGCAACACTGACTCTTGCGTAGGTATGTGCTTGCCACTGGGATTTGCGCCGATTGCTCGAAGGCAGCCGACATCAGACCAACTCACAAATGTGGTCACAACAAATAAGGACTACTCACCTGTCCATCACATTCTCTGAGACGTTTGCAAATATGTTTCCGCTGTGCACGATAACCCGATGCATGAAACATGATACATTGCAGTTTACCTTAGAAACCGTCTGACTATTCCAAATGCCAATACGCACATAGTTGATAATGATGTATCAGTCTCAGCGAAAACAATGCTCTGATACTCGCTAAGCTAGCCGTTACACAAGTTATCATCGCAATGATTGTGATTTTTGGTAACGTCTACACTGCTTTACGATATTTATCCCTGGTTTTGAAAGATAAATAATTCACGTTGTTTTCCAAATCGCTTCAACATTTTCCGAATCAGGGGAAATATTGCGTTGTCTTGTTTGAATGTTTGTTACCGAGCCTATTGACGAGCGTGATTCCTTCAACAACAGAAAAACACATGCAAAGGAAAATTGTCGTCATTGTAAAAGCTGACACGCGTTGATCGCACTCACGTGGACGTGCACAATTAATGACTAACTAAGGATCCTAATTGTACAGTACACAAAACAGGAATCACTTATGACGTAATCAGTGATCGATTCCCCATTGTTACACAAACATTTATTGTTAGCCATCATTGATTCAAATGAAGCTTAATACCGTTTACCCTTCTCTCCTACATGAAATTGATTATAAGATATATTTTCATCATGGATTTTCAAACCGCAGCTGAATAGTTCACAGATCATTGATCGACTATAGCTCAGGACGCGGATGTTGCTGATAAATAAAAGAGAATTTTCACTTCCAATATAATCCTACCCTAATCCTAAACCTTTGCATTGAACACCGGCAAATCATACAGATCTCCATCGCTTATATGGCACGCTCGCTTAGGATTCAGACATTCACAGAAGACATGCGACATCGTCTGATAGATCACCGTCGGGGTCTTGATATTTCGGTGGTTCTTTTGCCAAACTTATATACATTGATTTAATGTACTGTGGATACTCCAGTATCTGAACAGTTCGAACAAATTCATGAATGATTACCGTCACTTGCTGTAATGCAGTTTTGTCGTCAGTAAACATCTCCGTGTTTTCGAGTCTGATTCCGGAATTTCGGCTCTCGCTCATTTTCAATTATCGAACCGTTAAGGGTGTTCAGGAAACAAAATTGTCGTTTGAGTATTATTCACTTTGAGAATATATAGGTTTCGAAATGTGTGCATATGTTTCGTCCTGCTAAATCCCCACTTGACTCATCACAGTCTGTTGATAATATATCAACACAAGTTTTTCGACATGCGTTTCTGTTTCCTCTGTCTTGCAAAACTTCACCAGTGATTTCAACTTCCGCTATGAGAAATGTTACCATGTTTGAACAATTTATTTTCGAATCGATAGGTTGTCCTCCACGCGTTTGGACTGACTTCTTCGTGCTTTTGAACGATTTGCAAGACAGGTAGGCGTAGCAACACTGAAAGAGCCGTCTGTTCTGATTGGAGTTCGAAGAACATATCCGAACAGATTGACGGTAGAAAATAATTTCGGTGAGCCACGTGTACCGAAGTTAATCTACTAAATCAGCATTTCTTTTCTGTACCGTCCGTATGCACCCTCACCCTCTTTCTAACTAATCATGCAGTTAGATCTGCTATCCCGGGTGAGATTCTCCAAATGTTCAAGAAATGCATAGTGTACAAGCATCAGGGTGCCGATCAACTAGCATACATTTCGCTGTGCCAATCAGCTTGCAAAACCAACCGGTGTTTAGTTCAGTACGTGCTTGTCACTGGAACGAGCACTGCTTGCTGGAAGGCAGCCGGTATCAGAGCTATTCAAAAATATAGTTACCAACAATAGGGACTAAACGCCTGTTGATCACTGTTTCCGATAATTTTGTAAATGTGTTCCTGCATTGCACGATAACCGGGTGCAAGGAAACCTGAGGCCTTTCAGGTTGTGCGCGATGCATCTGCCTATTCCGGACGCTAGAGCTCACATGGTATACAATGTTGCATCAGTCTCAGTAGAGTCAATGCTCGTTTGACTTTTGATGGTTATGCCCTACCTGGATTCCTCCCGACCGATTTTACGAGAATGGGAAAACTTCCCTCATCTGCTATCATGCGCTCTAAGCTGATCATTACACATGATTTAATTGCAAAGCTTGTGATTGTTTGTGGCGTCTGCACTGCTTTACGATCTTCACCCTTGGTTTAGAAGAAAAATAATCACTTGGTTTTCAAATCGCTTCAACGTTTTCCGAATCAGTGAGATTATTGGAGATGTTTTTTTTTGAATGTCCCTTATCCAACTAATTATCGAGTGTTATTTCCTCATTAACATGGATGCGCATGAGGAGCAGTACCCTCTCCGATTCCAAATACTACTTTGTATGGCATACACAGAAAACATCGTGATAATGACCATGTACTCCCACATACACACATGGTATAATTCTATACATTGTTTTTCTTTGTAACGTGATCTAATCCGCATTCTGGTATTAACTGTTGATCACACTCTATTGCAATAAACTCCAGGGTCACGTAAACCGCAGACGATCCAATCTTCCGTGCACAAAACAGGAACCGCTTGTGACGTAATCAGTGCGCGATTCCTCATTGGAGATGGAATAAACATGAGTGATCTACGCGTCACTGCGTGGTTATGGGTAACAATTTTGGATTTCAGTCAAAAGCACGTGATGTAGCGTACGTTTTCAAGCCAATCTTGCCCCTAACGTCTAACCACACCAACTTGGTTTCTTCCCACCTCAGAACAATACAACGTAGACTGCATTCAACAAGTGTTTCATATTTATCTCTTATACGTTTGTACAAAGCAAACCAAAAACGACCAAAAAGGCATAAGTTACTTTTCTCCTGCATAAATTCAATGCGATAAATTCATGCCTCAATTTGCCAAACAATTTACTATTTCCTTGGATTTGCAATGAGGAAGGACAATGTCTCTAATTATTTGAGCAAGTATTTAAGATTTGTTCTCGAAAGTGAAGTGGTCGTTACGGAAACATTCTCAGTTTTCAATGAATCAAAGTTGCGTTTGAAGTGAATACCATAAACCAATGAACTTCGGCGTCAGCAAACATAAATTGAACAGCTCGTGCAATCTCTCACAAAAGATTGATAGATAGAAGATTCAGAATACTGAATAGCGTCAATCCGAACGACGGAGTGAACAAGGCGGCCCCATCTAGGAGAACAGAATGGAAACGCAATAAAAAAATAAAATGACAGAATTTGCTTTGAATACTCAACGAAAATGTCTATCGTGACACTATATACAGAAGCGGGCTTAAAAATCAGTTCACCATTTCACAAATCGTCTTAAACCATGCACAATCTGAGCATATTAAAGTTCTTCTCGGAGTTGAATTTAAGTGGTAAACTTACTCAGCATGTAAAAAACTGTTATATCGGTGTTCTTTGGTGGGGATCGCTTTTCGCGCAATTTCATCACATTTGCAGGCATTGGCTGCACTTGATCAGGTGCGGCTGTAACGGCAGGCTCTTTTTTCGTTGTCGTTGTTGTTGCTGTGGTCGTCGTTGTGGTGGTGGTCGTTGTAACCGTTGTGGTGGATGCACCCAAATCTGTACCAACCTCGATCTGATCAGTCGAGCTAAAAGAGTTGTTGTTCGGAGTCGCGCATATACTCGTCTTTGTGCCTCCACTGGTCAGCTGTACACATTCCGTGGCACTACCGCTCTGTGAAGCGAACATAATGAGAAGAGTTATGTCAGGTTACACTGCAATGGATGTAAAACCAGCGGGCTACATCCGTCAATTTTTAAACTCACCCCAGAGACCTTCAAGTAAACCATTACTTTCTTCTCATCCTTCGGCTTTACGAGAGCCTGACAACCGGGAATGCCAGTTTTCACAGTGAAATTTTGTTCACTAGGCGACGCAGTGTACTCTTTCAGACATGAAGCTGCGGCTTGATAGATAAAGCGCACCTTTAAACCGGCTAGTAAGCAAACTCACTGTTGGCGGCCCATATGCAAAGACCTAGTATGAGCAATGTCACAAGGCGCGAATGCATGTTTTCGTCAATGCTGACTAGCTGCAACTCCGTTGCTTTTATATTGCGCGCAGTGATTATTCGACAGTAAAGTTGACAGTTGTGCTCCTAGACATTATTCAACGAGACCAAATGAAGAATGATGTCGTGGGCGTTATTGATTGATGGCATGATGTGCCTAGACATAAACACAAAGAAACATCATTCTTGATGAAGCAAATCACAGCCTTCATTGCTCTGCGATTCGAGTGAATGCAGCCGCATACTTACTTCCGCTTAAATAAAAACCCGAGCAGCGTGAATCTTAACTGAAGTGACCTTTCCCTACCATGTATGATTTAGAGGAATATTCTTGTAAGGAACAAGCGAGGGTCCTATCGATATATTTACACGCGATTTGTTGTTATCTTCAACATCTTCAATTTTTCTCCTCCACTTTCGTTAACTGATGAACGAACTGAACTGCTTCATTTAACATAATTTTGATTAGAAATGACTGTTAGTAAGTGGAACTTCACGCACTATCCTCAGTTCATCCAGTGTTCCATACACTCTGCAGCAATAGATTGGAGTCCGTAGGTGCTTGGCTCAACAGTAGCCTAATATAACCAATTCCATTGGACCTATTTNCATAACTGATTCCGTTATAATTCGTTTGCGTATAAATGGTTAGAATAGCATGTACTAAAGTACAGATATTGTGCTTGTAAAAATGCTGATTCAGTAACTTTGTCCGTCATTGAACGCCATACAAAGAACCAATGCGTAACCGTGCACCACCCTTACCCATGCAGTAGCTAACTTTTTTTTCAAACTGGCGTCACGTTTTGTAAATCAGTTGAAAATTATTGAATAATAACAGTAAGGAAACAACGGATCTTGAATAGGAAAACACAACAGTGAATCCGTCTTCTGCTTTGGGCGGTCCGTTCCATCGTTTAATACTGCTTGGCTTGTCAGGAGGGTCACATTCGTTAGTAANTGGTATGACAAATCGAGACGGTTTTTCTGTAACAAATTTATCATTTGGCAATTTGTGGAGTGTCGCGAAAATGGCTTGCTATTTTATTACTCCCTGCAATACACCGCATGGTGCTTTTCGTCATGTCGAACGTATATAACAACTTAAAATAATATCACAGAAAACAGATTGCATTGCTTCTGGATGCAAACGCTGCTAAACCACAAACATACACAAACCATAACGAGTGGACCGCTCAAGATCATCCGGGAACGCGAAAATAATATGAAGGAACACATCTACAAATGTACCTCACAGTAGCTTTCAGGTCGTAGTTAGGGATTTGTTTACATTTTTTGATCTGAACTGACTATCCCTCGAAACTCACCTTCTAGCACAATCCTCAATTTCTCGATTCAACCATACCATCGTATGTACTGCAATCCGATTTACCTCTTGTTAGACCTGATTGCAACTTCACGATGTCCTCAGGTATTTGTACTGCGGACTCATCTCCTGGATGTTGTTCGCGTTCACACCGTGCCAACGAGCTCACGCGATGGCCGATTCGACTTACTTATTCATGTTTGTTCATGTGTCACGTTCAATGATAGTCTGCCAAATGAGTTGACTGAGTGTAATGCAAACGTACTCCGGCCTCTCGCAGCCCAGCAGATTGAACGGATATGCCCGACAGGATGTCCTGCGGCTCATATTCTCGCAGCAGGGAACGATACGATGTTCAGCGGGCGACGAATGACAAACGGCGGTGGGGATGCGGTATACGGTTTGGCGAGGAATCACTGGCAGATAGGTCTTTTGTGGGTCAGGCTTGAGATGCAACCTGCATAGCAATATAATCAAAACACTATGACCCGCATAGGTTCAATGCGATCCATTCACTCACGATAAAATATTACTGAAGCGGTTGCCAAGCGTTACATGAGGATTTCGCGTGAAGGTGATGTTCAAAGGATAACCCGACCCAAAAATTATCCGTCTTCTTTTGCTTATAATGAATCTGAACCCAATCACCCCAGTTCATGCATCTGAATTAAGATGGCTTTCTTCTTTAGAATATCGCCGTGGATGTATTAACTGTTACACTCAATGGTCAAGGTAATTATGTCTTCGCAAATTATGACGTTAACATTCTGTGTTTAAAACAAATACAGTATTACACTGCGAGCGCTGTGTTGCAGTTGGTCTTAAGAGTAAAGGTCTTGGCCGAAGGCTAGGTTTATTTGGATGAATTATCTGTTTGGAGCCAAAACGTGAAGCGGACTCCCTGTAAATCGCTTTCATATCTTAACACATTTCTACAACAGATCAAAATTCTGGCATTCACTTCTAGCGGATACTGCTTTGTTGTTCATATTTGGTATTACTTTAGTTACTGATACGCTCATGAAAGCAGATAAATTCGATTGGTGAAAACTCAGAAAATTATCTTCCTAAAATTAGAAATCCTGAAGTAAAACATGTGATTTTATTTCATGCTATGAAGCCTCAGATGTTTGTGACAGTATCTGATAATGCAGCTGTTGAATGGTGATTCGAATTGCAAAGCCACTGTATACTTCATGTGATCTCATCAGCTTACGCCGAACATATCAAACATCAGGCTGTACAGTCACCAACAACTTTTAATGTGAAGTTGCAGATAACAAAATCCCTGAACTGAGAGTGAATTGAAAAACTCATTGTTTCACAACCAACCGAATTTTACTGCAAATAAAAATTTCTGTAGTTTGGTTTGTCAATATGGTCATGGCCTGCATTATAATTTTAAAAAAAATAGTTGGGCCTCAAATTGATTCCAGGCTGTGTTGTCCAAAACATGGATAAATTGCAATTCCGGTGGAATATTTTTGATCACGTGGCGGTGCAGCACTTCCCATCCGTTAATTTGTAACGGATATAAATCATTTGCCATGGTTTACAACACGGTATCGAGGCATAAATCTAATACATCTGAACATTTCTCTTAGGAATCTCCTGATTTGAAGGACGCCTTTTTGTAGACCAATTCTCAGATCGCCTTAACAACTGCAACCGTATACCGTGAAGTGCAGCTTACATGGTGTGCATTTCTAACATCCAATGTTCGTACAGTGTTATCCATATCCATTTTGCGTCGCTTAGTGTTCGTTTGGGATTGCTATTTGCATCTGAAAGGAAACGTTAAAAACGTTTTCATGGATGTTATTGGTCCTGAGAATGTGGCTTACGATCATGAGTTAGAGCATCTTGCTGCCGAAGTATGATTGGTTGCGTTTGGATGAATGCCTCCTTGATAACCATCTGTTTGATTTACCCTGTATTTCTTTTAGCTATATAGAACCGTCATTTGTATAGAGCGCAGAAGCATTTCGAATGAGAATATTCTTCAACGTTTCCGTTTAATGACAGGACGTTATTTTCGAAAAATAAATATTTTTTTAAATAAAACGTACCTTTTATTTTGGTAAGCTCACTAAAAGGAATAGGAACAACTAAACCTGTTGTCTGTTAATGAGGCGTATATTCAAACTAGAAGTGTGACACACTGCTGTTCATTGTGATGGTGTAATTGCAAGATGCACGCATATTTCAGTTAGATATCATAACACGAGTAGTTTTCTCATAGTTAAAGTAAAAGTTTTATAATGGGAAATTTCTACAGGCGGTTGCTTCTCTTGCCCCATAGGATTTGGCACAGATGGATATGTCCACGGTACATTCAAAGTAGAATGATGTCACAATGTCACAATTTGTGTTTTTTTCGTGCGCTTCTACGGATGTTGAAATTAAAGACTTTTCAAAGGTTCATCCAGATTGTGCTTGAATGAATCAATTGTGGGCACAGAGACAAGTGTGATGGTACAGAATTCTTGGTAGTGCAAACTCTGAGGGCGAATGAATGCCGCCGGCATTCCATCGGCATTTTTGGAGCTCTAATTTGAATGAGTGCCCCCGCAGGTGGGTTTTGGGCGAGAACGAAAGAAGTGGACAACAGGGGTTCTGCATCATTTGGTATACCAATATCAAATCTCCTTGAATGCGTCGATATTGTGTGGAGTACAGTTGCAGTGATTCCAGTCTTTCCGCATAACTCGTAGATTGTAGTCCTTTCACCATTTTGTTAGGCATTCTTTGTGGATGTTCCAGAATCTTTTGATCGCTTTGCAGCCATGGACTCCATGTCTGAATTGCGTACTCTGTGTGGGGTCGAATGTAGGCTGATAACAATCGTGGGGACAGCATTGGTTCAAATTTGCCAAATACTCGTTTTAGCAAACCAACGTGTCTTACAGCGGTAGACGATGCCCAGGAGCAGTTCGTTAGGTCGTTTACGAAAACAAGGAAAAGTTGAGGGACCAGCACGGATCCCTGTGGAACTCCTTGTGATACGCTGATGGGATCAGTGAACCAGAAACACGAACTGACAATGTGCGTTGTCTCAGAAATTCTTCTATCCAGCCCAGTACAAGTCCCCGAATTCTGTAGTTGTGTAGTTTCCTAAGCAGTATTTTGTGGTTCACTCGATCGAATGCTCTGCAAAAATGGAAGTACACGACATCTACTGGAACACCGTGATCAGCTGCTTTTGTCCACTCTTCTAGGACCAGAAACACCTTAGTGGTACAAGATCGCCTGCGACGAAACCCATGATGAGCCGCGGATGATACGTTCTATTTTTCCAATTGATTCATCACATTGTCTGCCGCAATGCATTCCATGAATTTGTTTAATACGGGGAGGAGAGTAACGGGGCGGTAGTTAGCTGGGTCGCTGGGTCTCATAATGAGAAAACGTGCGCCGTAAGGATATAAGTAATGTTAACACTCGTGGCCTCCCAATGCAGCACTCAACAAGAATATGTAATGATTGACAGGTTCCTAAGTTTATTCACATGGTCGTGGAACGCGTAAAAGTGCCTCCAGGGTTTAGAATTGCCATAGAGTCATGTGTCGTCATTAGGATGCACCGGATGGAAGGAAATATACATGTTTCTCATAGAGTGTGCATCTGAATCACGGCATCTATGAATATTGCAACTGATCCAGAGTAGCCAAAC